GTGATATTCCCGCTCTCGTCCACGAGCTTGATTTCCCTCCCTACGATCATGTCTGAAGTGGTGTCGACCACCTTGTGGACGACGATGAGGTCTATTAATGGAAGCGTCAGAATTTTCAGCTTCAGTCAAATATAAGGTTGGATCAAGAGTGTTCAACCTAGCGGTTAGGGCTCTATTCTCCTCACGAGTAGCAGCTACCTTAGTTTGAACAGCCGTTAATTGATTTTGTAATTGTGCCAACTGTCGAGTGAGAGCTTCAATTTGGGAAGGGTCCATGGCAAGGGTTCTAGCACTAGAAGCAGTAACAAGACCACTACGCAATTGCATACACGGTAACACTAGCTAAGTGAGGTACGCTATAGAGATCAATAAACAACGAGTGCCAACAGTAGATTAGCAATCTGAAATTTTATTATTATTATTATTTTTTTTTATTTTATTTTTTTATTTTATTTTTTATTTTATTTTGTGTTTGTCAAAAATGAGATTACATAAGGTCCGATCTTAGCAAACTAATAATACTAATGTGAATAAAATAAAAAAGCAAAGGTATAAATGATAGGCCTAGTCACGTGGGGTAAACAGGTGAACAATGAAAGTCAGTTCGCGAGTTCCAATCAAGTAGGAGTAAGGCTAAAATTATGGAAATAGTAGCAATACAAAGAAATAATTGATGCAATTCTAGAAAAAACAGCAATGTGAACTAAAAATAGATAAGAGCAGTGACTCCCTGAGTTCAGTCGGTCGGAATTGCCAACGAGTGGGACTCCACGGATGTTTATGTTCTACCCTCCGTTTCAGTTGTCTTCCAATTCAGAACTGGCTCCTCTTGAATTGTGATCTATATTGCCTTGGCTCTCGAATAGCAGCAACGGTTGAGTTAATAGACAGCAGATTGTGGGGCACTAATTTGTCGGGTAGCAAGTGATGTTACAGTGAACCGGTGACAGGTGGCGGCAATGGTGAGCAGCAGCTTCAATTGACAGGACAATGGATAGAAAATAGTAGTTGCAGTGATGACGAAGAACCCAGCAGGTAGTGGTTATCGAGAAAGAAAGAGGCAATAGGTGGACGGAGATGGTGGTTCACAGGCAACAGCGAACTGGACCAGAGAAGAGCAACTACAATGACAACAAGAATAGGCTGTAACTACAGTGAAGCGGTGGTATATGGTTGCTTTGACAGTGATTTGTGAATGATAGCTGAGTGGTGTGTGGAGTGAATTATGGTTGTGGTGGATGGTGGCGAATCTCACGTTCGATTTTGGTGGAATGTTGACGATGGTGGAAGCGGGCTGAATATATGGGATAAATGGGCTGGGGATTGGGTTATTGGTGGATTGCTGGCAGTGATCAAAGAGAAAGGCAGATAGGGTTCGCGGCGCTGGTTGTGAGGTCGCTGGTGTGAGTGGCGTCGACGGGGAAGAGACGAAGGTGCTGGTGTCGTCGACAGGGTTAGGGCTTGGGTTATTTGAGAAGTGAGTTGGGTAGTGAGATATGGGCTGGGTTGGGCTAATATGGGTTTGGACTGACTGTGTTTATTAAAGGTGGGCTGACTAAGTGTTGGGCTTGAGTTATGGGTTAATTAGTTAGAGATAAGAAAATTTTAGTCCAACCAAGCATTGTATTGGGATTAGGGTAATGAACAGCAAAAATTGATTTAGAAAGAGCAACAATTTCGAAAAGGCAGCAAGATGAATTTTTTTTATTTTTTGGTAATATTGTAGAAAAAAAATCTAAAAGTTTGGAATTCGGGGTGAACAGTACCCATGAACAGTAAATCTTTTTTTTCTTTTTTTTTTTTTGCAACTAACAGAGAAAAGTGAAGAAAAAGAAACTGCCGCTCGTAGTTAAATCGTTCTCAATTATGCTGTTCCAACAAATTTTTTTTTTTTTTTTGGAAGGAGATGCGAAGAGATTTTGGATTGTAGGAAAGGAATTACCCAAGATTTAGCTCTGATACCAAATTTGATGCAGCACCAATGGGACAATTAATTGAAAATTAGAACAGATCTATAGGGAGAGAGAATTAAAGAGAAGAATAGGGAAGAAGAAGATTCAACAGAAGGGGAAGAAGAAAACAGGAAGAAAGGAAGTCGTCATAAGCCACCAAAATATTATTCAATCATCAACTAAAAATTATAGAGCAAAGTATGTTTAAATAGTAAAGCTAACCCTAACGAGATTGGGCCCGAGCCCATACAAGTCCAATTTTAATAGTCCAAGAAAATAAATAAAGTGCAACTTTGATAACAAAATAAATAAATATCCGATGTCCTCATCACTATAACTTCTACAATCTTTCGAGAAACTAAAGGACCAAAAGTTCTAGTGCTTGTTGCTACTCTACTATTATAAACTCATATCAGATAAGCTACCAAAGTGAGCAAATGATATTGTGACTTTTTTTGCAAAGAAATTGAGGACACTGTACTAGATTTTGAGTAGAAAGACTAAGTTAAATTG